ACTTTAATCAGCACCATCTGTTGATCATTTGCAGGGACCACTGAAACACAGGTATATCAAGGAAAACATTATCTTTATATTCACACATAATTTCTGTTGTTTCATTAAGTAAACGGGGTTCACTGTTGGTGATATCATGGGTTCTTCATTTATCTTAGTGAGATGTAGGAGTTAGCTTAGCTATAGATCATTATTAAATGACAAGTTTTCATTTTTAGAAAGAAAGGTATTATAGAAACTTCTTAACTACAGAGAACCATCTGAAAACCATGAACTAAAATCTAAGTTTATTAGTCTGAATAATTATTCATAATTCGACAAAGAAATGTCCGCAGCAGCTTTCCTCAGATTAAAACGTAGTAAAAACTACCTTCAAAGTAGTTTAAATATCGTAACATTTTAGGTGTATTTACAGATTTCTGACCTGAATGAAGCAGATAAAGATGCGTAATGACGACAAGGTGTTCTCCGTCCAGTTTCAATGGGGAATCAGATCGGTGCAACAACCGTGCCGTCTGTTTATCGGTCCCCGGAACAACAGAAACACGCGCGAAAGTTCCGCCTACCACTACCAGACAGATTCTCTTCTCTGCACCATCAGAAAGGATTTTTAGTTGCAGGAAAATGTTGAATTAAATGGAGATTAAGTGAAAAAAAAAAGAGTCTAAATAAGAAATGGGGGGTAAAAATGTGTTTGCCACACGCATAGTGTTTGTATTGGTGTGTGTTTTGTCTGTGACTCAATGGGTCACATTTACGGCTCCATTACTTCTTCACACATCAGCTGCATTAAATGCTTTGGTAATCACACAGTGTTGATTTTTTCCATGTGTCCCAACCGAGCAGTGCTTTTCTGTTTATGAAACTGTCTCGCTGCATCGTTTGTACCTGTTGCATTTCCTATCACTTCTGATGGAGAATCAACAGGCACCTCATGGGTGATAGCAGCACAAACTGAGCTCATTTAAAAAAAAAAATCTCCCTCATTGTTCTTTTATCACACTAGTCATCCAGTCTTTTACATCCTAAATGACACTGATGCCAAAAGAAAGCTCTTGTATGAATTATTTCTTTATTTCATCCTCTCATTTATCCAGGCCACGTTAACAGATCCAGAGACTGTCTGCCTTTTCTTTCAGACCCAAATCTATTATTCTTACTGTGGTCACGCAGCAGGACTTTGTCAGATTCCAAGCTTTCAAGTCCTGCTACTCAATTATTGAGTTAATGAAACTTGAGGGAAAAAAATTAAAGCATAGGTTATTAACCAGAACTTTATATGCTTCTTATAGTTTCCCCTCAAACCCTTCTTTTTATTTTATACTAAGTAGCACTCTAATAGTGACCCATAAACCTACATAAACCATGATTTTGACAGTTTTTTAAAATCCAGTTCTTTCATTGGACTACTCATCAAGCGGAGTATGGGATATGGGGGACAGTTGCAACATGTTATAAAAATATTTTTATGTTAATATAATGACTTTATTATTATCACAAATTTAAGTAATTAGCATGATCCTTTTTGATCAAATGATAATTATAGAGTTGCCTAGATGAGTAGGTTTGATGTATGGATGTCAAAAATTCAAACTGATATAAAATACAGTAAAACTTCAGTGACACAGGAAGAATTAAACAATTTGAGACATTTAACCTTTATTTTAGCTATTGACAACACATTCATTCATTATGCAAAATTAACATTTAAGAAACAGGGCTTCCAAAACAATTGTGGAAAAACATCTGTAAAAAAATGCATCATAGGGAATTTTTTAGTTTTAATCTATAACTGCTATTAAATCAACATTCAAAAAAGTATAATCTTATCATTTTCATTTTAACAAGTGAGCAAATTTCACATTTTTAATCAATTTCATTTTAGCAATATGCTGAAAAACATGCCAACATCATAACTGTTAAAACTACTTTTTGAAACTTCAGAAAACTTGTCAAATTGTGAAAAAAAAATTTAAATAAATGTTTTACCAATAAGCAGCCACTCAGTCAGATTCACAGTTGTGGCATGTGTACAAACCACCTCCAGGTGTGCAATCCTTCTGTGCCCAGGATTTACAGTTCCAGCACTGTAACCAGACTTCCCTTGGTCTTGAAAAACTCTCAACAATGCAGACTTCCTCTTCTTCTGATTCACGTTCAGGTGAGGCTGGTGTAGGAGACGTGGAGGTCGCAGGAGCAGGTGAGGCTGTTGCAGGACCAGAGGAGGCTGCAGGAGCTGCTGATGGAGACCCAGAGGTAGGGGCTAGAGGCCGATCAGTGACCAGCGAAGGGGAAAATTCACGGTCTTGAAAAATATCCCTTTTAAAGGGCCAGATCCCTGTGCAGCGGAACCCCTCCTGCACATTTGATGGTGTTGCAGAAAGAAGAAGAGAGTCTTTGACAATGCTTGGGATGTCATAGATCGTCATTGTCATGCCAGGATGACTTCTCATCCATGAATCGCAGGCTGTATTCACTGCCTTTTTAAAAGGTCCATAGACAGTCCTGGCCAGAGGTTGCAACTTATGAGAACAATGGGGTGGCAACGACAGCAGCACAATGCCACTGCTGCGGCAAAAGTTCACACTCTCGACGGAAAGGTGTGAAGGGTGATTGTCCAGAATCAGCAGGACTTTATTCTCTGGGGAGCTATGAGTGTGCAGCTGGAAGTGCTTTAAATACACCAAGAAGTCAGCCTCATGCATCCATCCAGTGTGGTTGGCCGTCCCTATACAGCCTGTCGGTCCATCGCGGATAAAGTGGGACTCAAAATTGACATGTGGGAAAATAAACATTGGTGGTATGGTATTGCCAATTACATTCCCTGCAAAAGCCATTGTGACCAGTGTGCCCTGCTCAGCTGAGGTAAGAGCCCCAACCTGCTTCTCCCCACCTCTGGCTACAACCTTGTCAGGTGTCTGGTCTGCTGTTATGCCCGTCTCATCAACATTCCAAATATTCTGAGGAGGAAAGTTGTGCTTCTCAAGAACTTTGCTGAGATTGTCAAAGAACTTTCCTACATTCACCTGGTTGAAGCTGGATGTTCTCGACAAGCTTGTGGCTTGTGGGCGTCTAATTGAGAGACAGGTGTTCCTCTTCATAAATCCAGAAAACCAGTCTTCACCAGCCATACCTTTCTCTTCCCACTGCTCAGGGAATTTGCACCCATAGTGAGTGGCCAGCTGATAGGCAAACGTCCTAACCTGAAATTAAATTGTTAAAAATGTAAATAGGTTACTGTTCATCACATTAATAGAACACTTTCTTATATTAACATGTTTTTTTAATTAAAAAAGTATCCCCTCGTCTCTTACCTGTTTGGGACATAATCCAAAGTACAGGTCAGCTGCCTTTTTTAAATACCGCACGACGTTCTTCTCCTGTTCATCAGTAAATACTCTCCTGCTGCTCCAGTAACCAACTCTTGGTAAGTTATCATGTCCCTCTGCTTGCAGTCTTGTTCTCTTTTTGTGGAACCTGTACAAGGTGGTGTGACAGATGGCAAACTCTTTTGCCACTGCCCTAACTGCTCTGCTTTCATCCCTGATCTTATTAGAGGCTCTCTCCAAAACATAGAGTGGGACCCCTCTGTCTGTGACCCTCTTTCTCACTCTGGGCATTACTGGGAAAAAAAAAAACAGGCATATATGTGTAAATATATTTTTATAATTACACAATTCACTGTATCCTCCTCTGCACATAAACTCAGTTGCAGAAAATGCACGAACCCAAGACAATTGTGTGCAAAGTGGCTAATCTAAACAATATGATTTAATCTAAGATACTACAGTTACAGTTTAACCAAGAAAATCTAAAAGTTCTGACCATACAAGTTCATAAATATGAACACACAACATTGCTAGCGTGGCTTCCTGAAGAAAAAAACACAGAGCACATCTTACCTGGATGACAACCAGCTACTGCAAGCGGGAAGAACACGTGCTCTATGTGTGTCTCACCAAAACATGTCCCATTAGAAACTGTAACCATGTGGAACCATTCCAAATACTTATTATAATAAAAATACTAAATTCCACATGTCCCCTCTCTAACTGGATGAACAACATTATGTTTAAGTAAAAACTAATGAACAAATGCTAAAAACCACTGTTAGTTGGTTAATTTTTACATTAATGTATAAAACGGGGACAGCAACTGTTCCCCCACCATTAAACCCTCACCTAGGAGTTTCTATAGAATAGCGATCTTTATATTTAAGTCTATGACCCTCATTCAACTTAATCCTATGATTAAAAATATATGGCGTTCAAGGATTTTACCCATTTCACAACAACACACTTGTATAAAGATTATCAACTGCTTTATGAACACATTATCTTGGGTTTCTTTGCAAATGACAATGAATTTGAAAAAGAAGTTTTTACAATTAACTTAGGCCTACTCTTAATTATTGCAAAGTATTACATACATAAATGTAAATTCAGGTAAAAGACCCATTTTTTCTGTGTTTCTGAAAGACTTTGAGACTTACATAAGAAATGAACACTGTACGAACCGAAAGGCTGTTAGGACACTGTCAGCATGGTCACATTGTATGAACAATACCTAAGTTTGTATGCTATTGTCACTGTTATTTATCTTTTTTTCATTTTTATTTCAGCTCCTGGTAATCTTAATTTTATATAAAAAATTCTGGTTTATTGTTCTTCTCTTCATTGTTCATTTTTTATTAATTATTGCAGAAAATGATTGTAATATGGACTATGTATGGTAGTTGTATGAATTTTGTTTTGTGAATCGTTTTCAATTAAAAAAACACGATTAAACCTGTTAGCTAAATAAGCTAACCTTGATACATGCTAACCATATGAACATATCACTTGTTTAAACCATATAAGTTTGAGCTGAATCACATAAACAACCACAACAATAACAAAAACAGAGAGCAGTAA